GGCGAGGATGTCGGGGCGCAGCCCGCTTCCGCGCGGGGGGAGCCGGCTCCGGACGCCCCAGAAGCCGGCCCGCCGCCTCCCCGCAGGTTTCCTGTTCCTCCCGAAGTTTTCTCCGTGACACCTTCGCCCCTCCTCCGCCGCTCCCTGCGCGTCCCCTCCCCGCCGCGCCTCCCCGCCTCCCTGGGCGCTGCAGTCGCGGAGCCCCGCGGTCCCCGCGGAGAGTTTTGGGTCCAGGTGGCTGTGCCCATCGGGAGGGACGAGAGGCGCGGGGAGGGCGGCGGCCAATCCCGCGGCGGCAGCCGGGGGCGGAACCGGGACGGTGCCACCCCGGGGCGGGGCCAGCGGGGACCCCAGGCGGGGAGGGGGCGGGACAGTCCCGCCCAGGACCGAGCCGAGCCGCAGGAGCCGGGAGGTGAGAACTAGGGTGGCGATCGAGCATGCACAGGGGACCGGGGGACCGGGAGGGAGCCGGCGAGTCGCCTGGACACGAAAAGGGGGTCCCGGGGTGGGATGGGTTGGAGGCGGGTAACTTGCTGACCAAAGGGGAGGAAGGGGTGGAAATAAAGGCAAACATACAAATTAAAAACTACAGACAGTGTGTAATAAAGAATGTAAAAAAGAGGAAAGGAAGAAGCGGGGAGGGGAGGAAAGAAAGAAGATTTCTAGTGGCGCGTGCGGTTCTGTTTCCTTTCGTTTTTCTCAGATGTTTAGCGTTAGTGAAACCTGGCCTGTCGGCACCTGTCCAGGTGTATGCCAGCCTCCCCCGAGGTCAGTGTCACTTGGCCGAGCCAGCAGTTCTGCGGCCAACCGCTGGCGGCGAAGGCTGGGTAGAGCTGCGCCTCTCTAAGCCTCCAAGGCCTCGCCCCCAGCGCTTCCTTAACTCTGAGGTTAAACGTCCACCTCCAGGAGTCCACTCTCACCGCCTCACCACGGCCCTGGCCTGCTAGCTTGCAAAGCTGATGGCTCTCAAAGCCTGGTGGTGTTAAGGAACTCTGGAGGCGGGACGCGTTTGCGCGGCTTCTCGGTCGCTTGTGCGTGATAAAAGCCTTCTGCCCTACTCCGGGGAGAGGCAAACTCGGTGTGCCTTGTGACACATTGGCCACTCGATCTCAGAATTGCTAGCTAAGCAGTCCCTGCAGAGCAAGGTTTGCACAAAGGCAAAGGAACTTTGGGCGTACAGAGGGTTGTGTGCCAGATTGTGCAACTGACCACGTTGCAACTTCCAATTCAGATGTCACCCAGGTCTTACCATTCAGGGTTGCTTTTGGTTTCATTTTATAATCACATCATAGGCTATAAAAGAAAAATAAGCTTAATAGTCAAGTGTTTGTATTCAGAAAGCCTTCAGGATACAGGAGAATGGATAGCAAATGTGGGCATTCCCCTGTACAAAGGCTGCGTACCCTGAGATAAGCTGCAGACGCAGTCATTGACTTAGCATGCAGTTGAGAGATCGCCTTACTTCTGGGTTCTTCCCTGGAAAAGGTTACTTAGCAACTCAGAAATGCCTGATACATGGTAGAGGTCCTCCCCTTTCTATAGACACATTACTGCTGGGCGCCTTCAAGAGATTGGCCATGAGTTGCTTAAAAAAAAAAAAACAACCAACCCTGAGATGAAACAAGATGATAACCCTGAAATGGAGGGTTCTGTTTATCCAAGGGAGTCAGGCATTACATCCTGTGTTTCACCATACTACACAGGCCTGTGCCGCACAGCCGCTGGCTGCTCGACAACTATTGGTCAAAGGCAAGAATGTCCTTGGCTTCCTGAAAGTATCTGGGGACAAGGCATAATAAAATGAGCAGCTGGGCGAGCTAACTAACAGAAGTGTCAAGCCATGGACCCACGTTTAGGGGGTATGCGCCTTTGCTTTGGACTGGGTCACCTAAAACCCAGACTGTAGACCAGGCATGAGGGCACATCCTTGTTAAGCTTCCTCTCAGCACTTTCCAGCTTTTCTTGTTATTTCTGAACATCTCAAGTCCTGCCAAACTAGAAGCATCCTAAGAATGAAGTTGGTGGCTAATTCATGTTTTATCCCTCCTGAGGCGTAGGAGTGCCCATTTAGAGTTTCAATGGATGTTTGATAGGTACATGAAATAATAACACACTAATGTAGACTCGTTTAATGTTGCAATGTTTTTATTACCACTGAGGATGACACCTGTAGATGCTGTGAACATCAGTCTAACCAAATAGCCCACAGTCTCCTATTCTGAGGCTATGTGTAACTTCAGCGAAAACCCCAGTAATCATGACCTAAAAAAATCTATACAGAGAAACAATAAATAGAAGCCGGGAGTGGTGGTGCATGCCTGTAATCCGAGCACTCAGGAGGCTGAGGCAGGAAGATCATTCCAAGTTCGAGACCAGCCTGGGCTACAAAATGAGCTCAAGCCAACCTGAAATGCATAGCGAGGCCCTGTTTCAAAAAGACAAAAAAAAAAAATTAAATAAATAAATAAATAAATAGAGCAGGGTGTAATACTTGAAATGTTTACTCTCAAAGGAGTGAATATATTAAGAATAAGTTTCCAGTAAGGAGCTCTTCCTTTGGCAGTGTTTTCAGGGTAAGTTATATTCAGTGTTAACGCAGATAGCCTCAGATCAATTCTAGAAGTGAAAAGGTTCTCCACCTATTATGTCAGCTGAGTCTTTCACAAATTGCTTTCCTCTCTCTCTCTTTCTTTCCCTTGCGGTGAACATAATTTGTAAAATGTAACTGGTTTTTGGTTTTTCATTTTTTGGTTTTTCATTTTTTAGTTTTTTTTTTGGTACCAGGAATCAAACTCATGACCTTGCACTTGCCAGGCAGGTGCTGGTAACTGGATTATTGAGCCCCCTGCTTCATGAGATACAAATAAAGTATGAGGTTATGTAACTTCCCCCTTGCAACAATGCCATATCGACTCTACATGTTCTGTTCTCTAATACTATTTCAAGAGGAATCCTTGGATTTAGAATATTTTTACTTATTAAAAATTCACACCCAGCCACATGCTCTCTCTCTCTCTCTCTCTCTCTCTCTCTCTCTCTCTCTCACACACACACACACACACACACACACACACACACACACACACATACATACGACTTCTACTCTAGTTTCAAACATTGGTCTCATCTCTGTCTGGCCTTTTCAAAGCGATGACTCACAGTATGGAAGGGATGTGGTCTGCTCTTTTGCTGCTGTCCCTGTGTCTTCACACGTTAGCCCCTTGAGTGTTGGATGGGGAAGTAGGACCAGGATTAAAAGAATAAACATATTACCCTGAGCTATGTGTGTGATTTTAGTCCCCTCTGGACTATCACAGATCGTTAGGCTAAACGAGTTGACTGGTTGCTTAGGGCTTCTTATCATGGGGGTGTCAGATGTTGGCTTTCTGTTGGGACTTGGGTGAAGTTTCTATTGGTTCTGAGGGAACTCTGTGGTGTACCAGTCCTTTCAATCCCCAGCCTGACTTCCAGGTCTCTGGGCTCCACCTCAAGAATGTCCCCCATGGGAGCGTACCCTCGTGGGTGAAGTTCTGGTGAATCTGACCTCCTTTAGACTATGGGAAATCAGGAAGTCTTCTTCATGGTAACACCACCTCTGCACAGGGTCCGTGCCTAGAAGTTCCTCACACTTGACTTGATGTTTTGTTGGTGCCATCTGAAATTCTTGATCGTTTCTGAACAAGAACTCCCATATTTTCATTTTGCACTGCATGCTGCAAATAACATAGCCAGCCCTAGATTCAGACCTCCTTACCGCACCAAAGAACAGAAGAGCTGCTCCACCAATTCCTCTCTTTCTGTGAATCTCTCCTATACACCAGTTCCTTTTTCCGATGTCAGCCACATCAACAAGTCTGACTGACCAAGTTGCCTCTGCTCAGGAAGTTCAAAACCACGCTCTTCCTCGTATAGATACTCCTCTTCAGGTTTCTTTCCAAAATATCCTCTATGGAGACAAAGGAGTGGGACTGTCACTCCTCACCAGGTTTAAAATGGACCAGCAGGGCTGGACAACCAGCTCAGTGGGCAACCAGCTTGAAAATGGACAACCAGCTCAGTAGTAGATCACTTGCCGAGGATGTAGGAAGCCCTGGGTTCAAGTCGCAGTACTGAAAAGAAAACTCTGCAAATTCATTATAACCATTTTGCATTTACCAGGATGAGTTCTGTGGATTCATTCTCTAAATATACATTTGTCATTTATCCTTCCTGTGAAGTTTTGTATTAAAAATGTGTCCTTAAGCCTCTGGGTTCAAGCTAAAAGGAAAAACTTAGATAATACAGGGGAGAATATGATGGTTTTCAGCCAATATTATCTCAGCACCCTGTGAGGTAGATCGCGTGGTCTCTGCAATCCCCACGTCCCCCCGCCATTGTGTAGCATTATTCCTGAATTCCAAGAGCCTTAAATCAGGGCTTCAGATTCAGTATGCACAAGACCCCTCTAAAAAGCTCATTAAAATACAAATCCTGGGCCTCACCCTTGAGATTCCAGTTCAGCCATTCTGGGATGGGGTCTGCCATCATTCCTAAAGGGAGCAGCTGTCTATGGACAAGGGCTGAGGGAATGTGGGATTCAAATAAACCTTGGTTACTGGGAAGATCTTGCTGAGAAAATGACTTGCTTTTAACTTTTATTTTGAAATAATCTCCAGCTTACAAAAAAAATGACAAAATTAATACATAAGAACAGATTCAGCAATTTTTATAATTTGCTACCTATATTTTACAGCTACCTTTATAGTCATACAGTTTATTTTCACAGCCATTTGAGTGCAAACAGCATACCTTGTACCCACTTACCTTTTAATATGTCATGTATCCAGTACCTAAGAGCAAAAAAAGTCTGTTATATAGCCAAAGTACAGCTATTAAAATTAGGAAATTCAATATTGATTTTAAAAAAAACTTCCCTAAACTGCTGCCTGCATTCGAATGTCAGTTGTCTCAATAGGATCTTTTAGAGCATTTTTTTCCCTCCAGGTCAGGCTCCTGTCCAGGACCACATTTGACATTCTTGTCACATCTCTTTAGTGTCTTTCAGTCTGTAACAATTCCTCAGCTGTACTTGGTCTTTAGTGGCACTGACATTAGTAAAGAATACAGGCCATTTATCTATAA